ATTCTTGTATTTTAATACATGAGTTTTAAATACAAAGTGCTTTCCAATCCGTTTGGTCCAATCAAGCTTGCTCAGAAGGCAGTGTAAACTCATGTTATATGACTCATTATGCTTATATGACTCATTATTTTACTGATAAGACTACAAGAAAAGCAGATCTGATTGGTTGCTGAAGAGTACTGTACTTTGCTCTCCATCTCTCCTATCTCTGCTGTTTGAATTGCCATATTAAATAGATATGCATAATGGGGAAGATGTGTGTATGTATGGAACATTTGCAGTGGATTAAACTAAGGCTTAAGATCAACAGCAAAAAAATTCCAAGTTAGGACTGAATGACAACTCCATTGGTCTATCTATATTGAGTAGTCTCAGATTTGACATCTTTAATGCACAGCTGACCATAGTTGATCATATTAAACACTCAAAAAAGAACAAACAAAATCTTATCCGGCCAATCCGACAATGGGGGGGATTTAACAAAACTGGAGCAGACAAATCTGGAGCATTTTGTTTCATTAGGATTTGAAAATGAAAGAAAGAGGCTGACTGGTTGCTGTGCACAGCTGCTCCAGATTTTGTCTGCTACAGTTTTGATCAATTCCCTTCAATGTATTAGAGCAGGGGTGCCCACAATTTTTTGTATTGAGATCTACTTTTCAAATGAGGAGCCCAACGAGATCTACCAACGATCTACCTCCCTCCTGCGTTCTGAAGTCAATGGCACCTCAGCCATGCCTCCCCCCTCCCCACCCGCAGTGCATTCGCCTGCACCAAATTCCTGCGTTTTGGTCCAGTGCGATCGGAAAAAATGCTGCATGCGCTATTTTTTTCAGATTGCATTGGACTGGAATGCAGACATTGTGGTTTCAGCGTTTTGGTGACTTGAATTCACCGCCACACCACCCCCAGCCAAGAACGCAGGGGGAGTTTACCATGCGGTACAGTGCGTTCCAGCAGCTAACGACGCTGGAACGCACTGTACTGTAACTTGTGTAAACAAACCCTAAATACCGTCCTAAAACATTGCATTCTTTGATTCAGGCATTATCTGCGTTCAGGTGAGGGAGGGGGCGTGGCAGTGCATTGAAGTTAATGTCACCATAGCCATGCCCCCCACCCGTATTGCAATAACCTTCACCTGAACGCGTGGCACATTTTTGCAGATCGCACTAGACCGGAACACAGGCACTAATGTGCCACGCGTTCGGGTGATCGTTCCCCTGAACGCAGGCAACCGACCGGAATGCAATACAGTGCGTTCCTGACCGCTCTGAAACGCACTGTTTGTCGTGTGAACCAGCCCTAAAGCCTAATTCACACCATCCTCAGTGCGCTCTGGCTCTATTGTGGACGGAACGCACTGGATCGCATTGCGGCCGGCTCAGTTTGTTGTGGGGTGGGAGGGGGTGTGGCAGTTTGTTGAAGTGAATGGCATCGCAGCCAACGCAATGCGATCGGCGCAGCGGGAACGCAAGGCACATCAGTGCCTGCGATCCGGTCCAGTCAGAAAAAATGCTGCTAGCACTATTTTTTTCTGACCGGACCGCAGGCATTCATGTGCCTTTCGTTTCCGTGCGGCAGATCGCATTGCGGCCAGAGGGCATGGCCGCGGTGCCATTCACTTCAACACATCACCACACCCCCTCCCACCCCACAACAAACTGAGCCGGCCGCAATGCGATCCGGTGCATTCCGGCCACAATAGCGCCGGAA